ACACCAGGGCTCCATTCAGGCATTTAAGACTCTTTAATTTTCCTGGTGTGGCACTATAGTGTAAGCACTGGATTTCTAACCACAAGGTTGGTGATTCAACCCCACCAGCTGCTCCTTGGAAACCCTACACAGGGTCACCATGAGTGGTAACTAACTCGACAGCACCTAACAACAATAATGTATATGTTGTTGTTATATGTAATGTAATAAAATAATTTTTAAAAAGTATTTATTGATGTCTTACTATGGACCAGGAGTTGTTCAAAGAACAATACGTGAATTATTTTGTTTCATAAATTTAGCAGATATATTGATTTAACTCATGTGAGACTATGTATCAAGTGCTTTGCTAATAATTTAATAATTTAACCCACATGACAAACCTATGGGTAGGAACTATCATTATTCCCATTTATCAGATGAGGAAACTGAGGTACAGAGTTACTGGGCAGTGGGCTCAAGGTCACAAAGCTCCAAAGTGAGAGGATATGGACTGGAGACCAGGCAGTGCCCCAACAAGCATGATCGGTATTGCCAATGGAGACAGCCAACACCAGCACACACCCTCAACTCGGTTAGGCCAAGCTCTTCTTGGAGTCCTACGTACTCTTTTATCTTTTGTACCTCATTTCCTGTATGCTTGGGGTGTCTGCCGCTCTCTGTCTACTCAAATTCTCCCCCTTCAAAGTCTACTTAAGACTTACCTTCTCCTTGAAGGTTTTTCAGAAACCACTGGCCATCTTTGAACTCTCTCCTTTCTGTCTACAGTTTATGGCATATACTGTCTACAACATTTTGTTACTTAGGCCATTCTTCATTTAGAAATTTATTATAGACACCAAAACCTGTGAAAGTCAGAACCTCTGTAAAGTGGCAGCATGTCAGAGGGGGAAAACTCAAATATCTTTTAATAATAGAGAGCATTAGAAAAGTAGCAAGATGGTACCCTGTTAAAGATGGAAACTTGGCTAAGACCCAGATAAAGCCAGGAAGTTCCATCGAGAACCTACTCTCACAGGTTTCACTCTACTATCCTGTGTAATTGTCTTAAATGGGCTGTGGGATCCAACAAAATCACAAACTGCTTAAAGGTACCACCCAAGTAACTCACTTCTGAATTCCCCAATACTACTCAGACTTGAAAGACACATATAGATGCTTTATATATGCTTGTTGAATTGAAGCACAAAATGAGTTCAGGTCTCCCTCTGTAATGGTTATGGTTCTGTGTCAACTTGACTAGGCCAGGATTTCTAGAGGTTTGGCAGTTGAGATGTACTTTTTCCCATGGTCATGAAACCTAATCCAGGCATAGTTAAGTCTATGATGAGTGGCTATGAGCAGGTAATTAATTGAAAGGATGCTTCCTTGGCGGTGTGGTCTGCTCCCAATATAATGGACATGATGCGGGAAAGGCTCTCGTGTTCTCTTTCTTCCACTGGGAAACTGGAAATCTATAATTACAAGCCAATCCTTTGATAATAAACTTCTTTATATATATACATCTATATGTTTCACTGGTTTTGCTTCTCTACAAAACCCAGTCTAAACTACTCTCCAATGTGGTAGTGGTTGTATGCTGTTGAGTTGGTTCTGACTCGTAGTGACCCCATATATAGTTTCCTAGGCTGTAAATCTTTACAGGAACAGAAAGCCTCATCTTTCTTCCATGGAGTGACTGGTAGATTCAAACTTCAGACCTTGTGGTTAGCAGCCCAGCTTGTAATCCATTATGCTACCAGGATTCCTTCTCCAGTATAGTTGTTGTTGTGTAGTGCCATCGAGTTAGTTCCCACCCATAGCGACCCTGTTTAGGGTTTCCGAGGAGCATCTGGTGAGCTTGAACCACGGACCTTGCAGTTCAAACGGCTTTGCAGTCTGGTGCATTTACCCACAGTGCCACACCAGGGCTCCCCAATATAGTAGCTTTTTTCATTTTTTCCTTTTTATTGTGAAGTGCTGTGGAGTCAGTTCCATCTCATCACAAGCCTGAACAGGGTTTCCAAGCAATTAATTGTTGGTGGGTTTGAACTGCCGACCTTGCAGTTGGCAGTCCAGTGCTTATCCTACAGTGCCACAGCAGTGCTCCTTATAACTGCATTATTAAAACTAAGCAAGCACCCAGAATAAACACAGAATTCACCCATTTATGTTTTCTTTTTACTGCTTAACTAACATGAAAAAGAGCAAGAGAATATTAAAAAGCAGAGTTGGGAATGTAGTTTAATAATAATCTTCAAGTTATAAAAATCATTAAAACCACTCAAATAGGCCTCATCTTTATGTAGCTAAAGAATAAAAGTGGTTTTTCCTTGTATCCATCATTAAAAGTCAGTTAATTTGTTTCAAATTTAATTTGTAGTTAGTGTATTGGTATAGCTTCACCTTAACCTGAATAAATGGGAATTTTCTCCTGCATGGCAGAGTCCATTTGGCATGATTCCCACATGTGGCAATTACCGTACCATATTTTTGCAGGAACCTACTTGGCTGTGTCCGCTCCGCTGGTTATTAAGGTGTTAATCAAAAGCTCATGACCGTATCTTGCAGCCACATGAAGAGGAGTATTGCCATCCTTATCGACACAGTCAATTTCACCTCCTGAAAGAGATATTTTCATACAGGATAACATAAGGAGTCAAGCTGATTTAAACACTACATTCTACACTAGTCATTCAATGTTGACCAAATGTTGGTTTCTTTCCCACACTGTGTGCATAAGCCTGAAGTACAAGAATGCATTTTAAAGAAACAGGTCATCATCTGAATTAGTATCAGCACATATATTATTATATAACTTCCAGGTCACGGCCCTGCTGAGTTCTAATAATAAGACCATTATAAAATCCTCACAATAAGATCTGTACAGTCTTCATTCTACACAGTCTTATTATTTTTTTATTTTCTTACTACCACCTCCCTATGATTACATTTAACAAACAATACTTTTTCTAGCCAGAATAGTGGTGAAACATAAGAGTTAATGAGTAAGAATCTTACCTACATAATGAGATAGTTACCAAAACTGTGTGGCTTTGCAGGAAGGCAAATACTTTAACACTGAAATTAGCACACACGTTTACACGGTATTTAATATGCTTCACTCTATAGCTAGAACTTCTGCATTTAACAAATTGAAAAATCTTTCAATTTGTTGCAAATAAGTTTTCACATTTGGTGTTTGTAACTTAATAGCTGCTTAAAAAAGGTAAACTCTTTCTGACTTTGATGGGAACTATAAATAGCAATTTGAATACAAATACTAATCTTTCCTCAGGTTTTTGTTTCTGAGTATAGTTATTATTTTGAAAACTAGCTGTGATCATTTCTGTGATATTGACACTCACACGTACATATATGTATATTGTTGTTGTTAAGTGCCATCAAGTCGGTTCCAACTCACAGAGACTCCTCAAAGGGTTTCCAAGGAGTGGCTAGTGAATTTGAACTACTAACCTTGTGCTTTATCCCACAGTGCCACACCAGGACTCCATATATATAAATGTATAGTTTCACCAAACTGTTGATAGAAACTCTTGGGATAGAGACACATGATGGCAATTATGGGTAACTTTATAATGATTTAATTTTATATGAGCATGTACTAATTTTATAGTGAGATCTTCTAGGGATTCAAGGAATGCATTAGCTTACTGTGCTCTGCTGTTGAGTCCTGGTGCGGCAGTGTAGGATAAGCACTAGATCACAAGGTTAGTTTGAACCAGCAGGTCAGCAGTTCAAACTCAACAGCCGCTCCTCGGAAACCCTATAGAGGGTGGCTATGAGTCGATACCAACTTGACGGGTACTTAACAACAACAGCTCTGAATATATTAGCATCTAATTTAGAAAAATTCATTTTTATGACCAAATAGTAGCTTTGGGACAAGCAGATACAATGGGTAACTTAGAGCAATCCAGGGAACATGTATCTACCCAAAAACTGTCCACAGTAGTAGGCCTGAGAGGGCCACTCCAGGAACACTCTGACCCATGGAGGATGGAAGACAGGTCTTCAGAGTTCAGAGAAGCCTTTGCCCTGAACAAACATGACATCATTCCATACCCTACACAGCCAAATGTGACCAAAGCCTGCTTAGAAAGTGTTAGGACCTCACATTTGGCAGTCTCAAGTGTGCCACAAATTGGTGGTGGCTGTTGTTAAGTGTCATTGAGTCGGTTCTGATCCATAACAACCCTATATAGGGTTTCTGAGGAGTGGCTGGTGAGCTTGAACAGCCGACCTTATAGTTCAAATCAACTTTGCAGTCCAGCGCATTAACCCACAGCGCCACACCAGGGAAAGAGAAATGTGAAAAATATTGATAAGTATGGAATAGAGGGGCTGAACCAATGCTTTCTGGTGTGACAACCTTTTCATGAGTCAACTTAAAATTTCAAAATAGAGACAATTATCTTCTACATGGGCTTTTGTTGTCATTTAAAATATATTTCACAGAAATATTATAACTTCGTGAAGAAATAAAAACATTTGTAACTTTCAGAGTATAGGGTATTATGTGCTAGTTATGGAGATGTGTCAGCTTGGCTGAGCCAGGATTCTCAGTGGCTTACTGATTAATATGTGCTGTATGGTGCTGTAGGATCAGCACTGGACTGTAAACCATAGCTTTGGTGGTTCAAACCCACCAGCTGCTCCATGGAAACCTTGTACAGGGTCACTATGGGTCAGAATCAACACAACAGCACTTAACAACAACAATCTTCTATGATGAGATCTAATAGAATGTCATCACTTTCATGATGAGATCTGCTGCAAGCATCCTGTCAACTGAAAGGAAGTTTCTCCAGAGGTGTGGCCTGCAGCAGCTTTTATCTTACAAGTGATCAGAAAGAGACCCGGGGACAGAGTACTTCCTTTAGACCTGGTGTCCCTGAAGCTCCTAGATTCAGAGCAAGATTGTTGTCAAGATGCATGGAGATCTCCAAAGAATGTTGAGCCTACAGATACTGAAAGGAGGCAAGGACCTTTCTCCAGAGCCTCCAAAGAGAGAAAGCTTTCCCCTAGAGTTGCCATTCTGAATTTGCACTTCTAGCTTCATCAACTGTGAGAGAATAAATATTGGTTTGTTATGGTGTTCCTGTTTTATAGCAGCACTAGATAACTACGACAGGACACATGTCAGAAAAAGAATAACTTATGCAGCATTATCTAAGCATCCCTCTGAAATAATTTTCCGTTGCATAAACAAGAATGGTCATCCTATTATGTTGCCTCAGAAAGGTTGTGTCAAAGGTCAAAAATGTCAGTCACTTTAATCTACTCCTTAACTCTTACTTTTCAGACTCTGTTTTTAAAGTTTCTGTGAAGAAAACATCACTTCTGAACTTTTGGATCCTGTTGGACAAGACTCTCAGGCAGCTGACTAGTGAAAATGACTGGTTGAAGAGCCTGCCAATAGCATACTGTTTCTTTGTTCAGTTTCTTTGCCTCCCTGGCTGTGACAACACAGCCTCAGACCACAAAGTAAGTGATGTAACAGCTGAGGAAGTCTTTGCTTGCTAACTCAAAAAGAAAAGTTGTATGTGTGCATGTGTGTTTAAAGATTGTCTTAACAAAGCTATTTTGAACATCTAACCAGTAACCCTGGCTGGAGAGCAGTCAGGGGAGCAGAGAAACACAGATGAAGTCCGAATACCAGAGCAAATTAACAAGTAAACGAGTAAATAAACACAAAGGACACTCCTCAGCTGCATGTGTTCAGTGGGCTCCTATGTTTGCTCATGCTGTCCTGTAGTTCGGAACTTGGAGGACACAGCAGCTCTTGTTGTGTGGTGACCCACTCTGGAGGGCTGGTCCCAGGCCCTGGGGGTGGGAGCCTCTGGAGACAGGAGGGTTGTAGCAGCAGCAGCACAGGATTTTCCCCAGAAGGAAGCCAACACACAGGAGGAAAGAAAAGAGCTTCCTATTCTTCTCTCCAAGGGCATTTAAAAAAAAAAAAAAAAGTCAGCTGCAAGAACTTGTAGTTCTCCCATGTATAATGTTTAATGAATGCAAAGAATTGTTTGTCATCTGAGAGAAGAAAATGTCAAACCATGTTTTTATCAGGACAACTCTCTTCCAAATATAAGTTACCCTTAGAGTAAATAGAATTCAATTAAAATAAAATTAACATGTCATTGTTTTTTCAGAGAACACGTTTATAGTGTAGTGGTTTCAGTCTATGAGGCTGGATTGTCTGAGTTCCAATCCCTGTTCCTTGCTGTACCAACCACGTATCCTGACACAAGAGACCACCTCTCTGTCTCAGTTTCCCCATGGTTTACCAAGCTCCTGGTACATTGAAAACCCAATAAATGCTGTTGTCATTATTGTTAGATGCCATCGAGTCAGGACCAACTCATAGCGACCCTGTACACAACAGAATGAAACATTTCCTGGTCCTGCGCCAACTTCACAATTGTTGTCACATATGATAGTCTGTGTCATTATGTCCTCATCAATTCAGGCTCCTGGACCCCATCTGACTCACAAGCAAAATGCCAGGCCAACCAAGGATGGGACAGGCTCCTTGGTAATGGAGGACAACAGATGGAGGACTCTTTCAGGTCTAGACCCAACTCACAAGTCTAGTAAGAGTGCATAGGGGAAGTCTTTGAGCCCACTGGAGTGGGTCTTGGAGAGGTCAAAACAACTAGCAACGTCCTGGGGCTATTGCAAGCACACTGGCCTGACAGAAGGGAGGTGGGTCATGGTCTTTCTTGATTCAAGGGATATGGCAAGTATGGTCTGGTATACTGGGATGAACCTGCAGGAAGGCAGCATCTACAAGGTGAAATATTGTTCTCTATCCAACTTGGTCACTGATGCTTGAAATTACTTTAACAGGAGACAAAGCTTTTTATTCCACAGAGCTAGGATCCATTGATTAAATTCACATTAAATTTTAAAACGTGTGGAAGGAAGGATGCCAAATATCTTCCTGGCTTTAATTTTTTTAAGGTAATGAATACTGTTTTTTAAAAAAAAAGTTGACAAATCCAATGGGATGACGAAAGGAGCTCAAAAGAGAGAGACTAGGGCACTCTTTTTATTTACAATTAAAGTGTCCCTTCCATTAAAATGAATATCAAAGGTATGCTACAGATTTCAAATTAGAAATAATGGGTGATATGCAGTTAATTTCCATTTCTCCTTTCTTGGCTCAATGGAAATTTGTTAGTACTTCTTTTCTCCCCTCTAGTTTCACTGAGAAGCTTATAAATTTCCTTTGCTTTGCTGCAGATATTTTGCTTTCTAAGCATAATTTTACTGGTTGGCCCTCCATTCAAATGTCAAATGATTTTTTGCTTTTATGATTTGAGTGCTTAAGACATAACTCAGCACCACTAACAATTCAAGTATATGTCATCTATAATTTTTATAGACAGCAAAAAGAGAGGCCCAAGAAAATCAACTAACATCGCAATTTTGAGAAGTAGAAATGTGCGTCAATTTAAGATTATTTTGGAACTGCTGAATTGACCTGGAATGTCAGATTATCTCTAAGATTTGCTCAGATAACAGAAGCTTTGTTGCCAAGGTCAACAGTTTTGTTGCACAGATGATGGCCATGACCCACTAGGAGTAATGTGACCCACACCAGGAAGAGACACTCCCTAGGACTATGGTTACAGAGACAACCCTGTGGTTTCATGCAACACACCTTTGTCTGAGCCTAGAAAACTATTGGATTAGGTGACTTTCCAAGGTCTCTGTAAAGCCTGTGATTTTATGACTCCATATATTTTGTACGTATCTTCTTTTCCTCTGAGTCACCTCATTTTTCCTACCTTTACTCAAGTTGCTTTATGCATTTTTACTTAGGGAACCAGTGTGACTTCTAAAATCTAAAAACAATTCAGATTTGCTACTAGAAAATGTATGCTACTTTAACTTTCTTAGATTCAGGGTAGAAAGCACAAGATTTTAAGTCTATGTAAGTACATCATTTCCAGTTTTCAAGTTCACATGTTCTTTGACTGGGGATAGACTGTGAAACAACAGTATGGCTTTTCACTGCTAAGACAGAGATGATAAATCTGATGAAGAGCCCTCAGCAAAGTAGGTTGAAGAACAGGGTAAAACCTTGCTTACGAAAACTCCTCCAAACAAAGTGTCATTTTTTAATATATTCAGATGACTGACAGCCAAAGTCAATCAAATCAGGAAACTGTTCAAATGACGACACTGCTGAAGAATCTCTTACCATTCTGAATGAGTGTTTGTGACCTTGTGAACCTTCCATGGACAGCTGTCATGTGCAGTGGACTTTTGCCATCTTTACTCTAAAAAATATGAGGAAGAGACAAACAGCGTGGGTGTTAATGAACCAGTGAACCAAATTTGAAACATTCCCATTGTCAATGAACTAAAAACACCAATTTGAATTAAAAATGCATGATTAGAAATTACAAAAGGTAATTAAATTGTAGTTGTTGCTATTAAGTGTCATTTAATCAGTTCCAACTCATAGTGACCCTGTTTAGGGTTTCTGAAGAGTAGCTGCTGGATTTGAACCACCAACCTTGAAGCTCAAACCAATCTTGTGGTCCAGTGCTTATCCTACAATACCACACCAGGACTCTACACTATATATATAAAAATCTCAAAAGTAAAAGTACAATGTATATAATCTCCCAAAATATTGTATAAGCCCACATTTTCAATAAGTGTGGACAAGTGAAAATTACTTGGAGAAGTCATTGAAAGTTTCTAACTGCACTGCCCATTTTTATCTTATTCTATTCCAAACTGAAATAGTCATCCAAGAATTTTGCCCTCTCCTACAATGTGTGGTGTTACGGGTTAAAGCACTGGACTGCAAGGTCAGTTTGAACCATAAGATTGGCGGTTCGAACTCACCAGCTGCTCCTTGGAAACCCTATACAGGGTTGCTATGAATCAGAACCGACTTGGCAGTACAAGTTAACTATTGACAACAATAATATGAGCTACTTGTTGATGAGGGAAGTTTTCTTCCAGCTCATATTCTCAGCCTTTGTGTACATACAGCACACTAGAAAGACAAATGACGTGTTAACTTTCATGGCCCCATGTGACCTGACGTGACTCAATTGTCATAAATCATTGCAACTGTCAACAATTGTCCTGAAACCATTCCCTAAATGCTGATCCCGTAGAAAAATCATTGGGATTGTTTCACAAGACAGCGTCATGTTATACTGACCTCATTAGAAAGTATAGATTAAGACAAGCACACCACTCAGCAGACTACCATTTTAATGATCAGCTGATATAATTTATTCAAAACCCTTGGCATGTCTTTGTAATTCAAGACATAAAGTAGTGGTTTTCTATTTTATGTAATTCAAGACATATAAAGTAGTGATTTTCTACTTTATGTAATTCAAGACATAAAGTAGTAGACTGATTGCGCTAAAACATGAAATATATATACTGAACAACACTGTATAGTACTTAATAAGATTTTATACTAAGTACTGAAGTTCTACATGCTTAATTAAGAAATGATCATTTATCTAATTTGTTCTGAAAGTGATACTATTCAAAAGAAAACATTATTAATATTACTAAAAATATCCCAAACAAATAGAATGTATTCCATTACTCAAGTATTTTTTTTCAAATCCATGTAACTGTTATTTCTCTGAATCTCAGAAGAGATATTTGTCTAAATTTGAGGTTTAAAATAATTTTTCAAAATTGAGAGTTCAGTTTTGTGTGAAAACCTATATACATGTTCTTAAAAATGACTCTTAGCTTTTCAAAAATTCACATTTTTTCAAAAATCCATAATGGATTTTTAAATCAATATTTTCCAGAATGGAGTCAAGAACCATCTGCTTCTGAGTCACTAGAAATTCTTGTTAGAAATAGGAATTCCCGGGCCTTAACCCAACCCTGGAGTTTTGGTATGGTACTGCAAGATAATATACTGGACTTGAAAGCTGGTTTGAACCGCAAAGTCAGCAGTTCAAACTCAGCAGCTACTCTTGGGAAATCCTACTGAATTAGAAGTGGAGTAAGGGAGTCTCCATTTCTAAAAAGCATGGCACACTAAGATTTACTACCCACTGCTTTAGACTTCAAGCTTACATAGCTTATAACACCACAAGGTTTTAACAGAAGACCTCTTATTATCCCCTGTGAAATCTATTAAAAAGGGAGAAAGGAATTATGCACAGACTGCATTGAGAGAGGAGATCATCAGAGTGGTAACGGTATCTTGATGGAGGAAAAAAATAGGATTATAATTTATATTATTATTAAAAAATTATTAACACCTTTTCTCCATCTAATAGGATTATAACCTAAGTCAGAAATATTGAGCAAAGAGGGTAGCAGTAAGCTGAAAGCTGTACTCTGAGTGGTATTTCTTAGAGGACAGGATCAAAGAGGACGAGAATGAGGATACGGTGACATTATAGACCATGAGACTCACAGAGGTACATGAGCCCAGAGCTGGGTCTTGGATGCCAGAACTCTTGAGAATTTAAAGGACTGACAAGCTGGGGAGCTACCTAGGAATAAAGATTTAAAACATGCCCCCTTCAATAAAAATGTGAAGACAGCCCAAAACTTGGTTAAGGAGAGAGAAAGCAGAAATTATAGAGTTGACTTTCACTTGTCTCTAGGTGGTGCTATTTCTTTAAATTTTGTTCCAGTATGGGCTCTTAAATTTAATGTGAAAATATAAGTAATTAGCATTTAATTAAACATATATAAAACTATAAGTACCTCAGAGTCCTGGTGTGGCGCCACAGCATAAGCACTCGACCTCAAGACTGGTTTGAACCCACAAAGTCAGAGGTTCAAAATCAGCAACCCCTCCTCAGAAACCCTATTTAACAGGGTCACTATGAGTCAGAACTGACACAATGGCACTTAACAACACCAATAACATAAATACCTCATTATTTAAATAATATCTTCTTAAATATTTAACTGGAGTCCTGGTGTAGTGCTGTAGGATAAGCACTTGACCACAGGTCAGTTTGACCAGTGAGGTCAGCAGTTCAAAATCACCAGCTGCTCCTCAGAAACCCTATACAGGGTCACTATGAGCCTGAGCTGACTTGACAGCAACTACAAATATTTAACTAAGTACTTTTTCATGCCTAGAAGAGTTTAAAGGCTTTACCAAGGAGTAACCACCAACCTGATAAAAAAAAAACAACAAACCCACACCAAACCAACTGAGAGAGAGTCAGTCTGACTCACAGGGACTCTATAGGACAATTTAGAATTACCCCATAGGGCTGTAATTTTTACAAAAGCAGACTGCCACATTTTTCTCTCATGGAGAGGCTGGTAGGTTTGAACCATTAATTTTTTGGTTAGCAGTTAAGTGCTTAACTACCTGGAATTCTTCCAACCTGATAGTAACTATTGAAACTGCAGGCAGAGAACCAAAGCAAAAATAACCTATGTCTAGTGTAGACTCAAGGAGCTCTGGTAGCGTAGTAGTTGTGAATTGGGC